GGGCTCAGGGTTCCGTGAGCAGGGCTGCTCCAAGTCTGATTCAGCCCAGAGCCTGTTGGGTCTGCAGGTCCTTCCTCCCTCCCTTCCCCCCCTCCCCCACCTCCTGAGTCAGAAAGACCAGGGCTGGCGCCCATGAATGTGTGTGTGAACCAGCCTCTGGGTAATTCCCATGGGGAAGGAGGGGATGGAAAGGGTGTGTGGGATGAAGTAGCCCTGCTGGCTGGGGGTCCGGGGAAGGCAGTGTCCCGTGATAGAGTCGGCTGACTTCTCTGGGCCTGTTTCCTCTCTGTGGAATGGGGGGAATGGTCCTCTGACCCCCTCCCTTCTCATCACCTCTCTTCTCTGTCCCCCACCCCCACCACAGTGGACCCTGACGCCGTGTGGCTCCTCCAAGGCTGGCTCTTCCAGCACCAGCCGCAGTTCTGGGGCCCCCCCCAGGTGGAGGCCGTGCTCAGGGCCGTGCCCCGCGGCCGCCTCCTCGTCCTGGACCTGTTCGCTGAGAGCCAGCCCGTGTACGTCCGCACAGCCTCCTTCCAGGGCCAGCCCTTCATCTGGTGCATGCTGCACAACTTTGGGGGCAACCACGGCCTGTTTGGGGCCCTGGAGGCTGTGAACCGAGGCCCCGCAGCCGCCCGCCTCTTCCCCAACTCCACCATGGTAGGCACGGGCATGGCCCCTGAGGGCATTGGCCAGAACGAAGTGGTCTATGCCCTCATGGCTGAGCTGGGCTGGCGCAAGGGCCCCGTGGCAGATCTGGGGGCCTGGGTGACCAGCTTTGCGGCCCGGCGGTATGGGGTCTCCCATGAAGGCACAGAGGCAGCATGGAGGCTGCTGCTCAGGAGTGTCTACAACTGCTCCGGCGAGGCCTGCAATGGCCACAATCGCAGCCCGCTGGTCAGGCGGCCATCCCTACAGATGGTCACCGCTGTCTGGTACAACCGATCGGATGTGTTTGAGGCCTGGCGGCTGCTGCTGACAGCCACCCCCACCCTGGCCACCAGCCCATCCTTCCGCTACGACCTGGTGGACCTCACTCGCCAGGCAGTCCAGGAGCTGGTCAGCTTGTACTATGAGGAGGTGAGGACCGCCTACCTGAACAAGCAGCTGGTCCCCCTGCTGAGGGCGGCAGGCATCCTGGCCTACGGGCTTCTGCCCTCCCTGGACAACATACTGGCTAGCGATAGCCACTTCCTGCTGGGCAGCTGGCTGGCGCAGGCCCGGGCAGCCGCGGTCAGTGAGGCCGAGGCCCATTTCTATGAACAGAACAGCCGCTACCAGCTAACCCTTTGGGGGCCAGAGGGCAACATTCTAGACTACGCCAACAAGCAGCTGGCAGGACTGGTGGCCGACTACTACACCCCCCGCTGGCGACTCTTCCTGGAGACGCTGGCCGACAGCCTGGTCCGAGGCATCCCCTTCCAGCAGCACCAGTTTGAGGCGCATGCCCTCCAGCTGGGGCAGACCTTTGCCCTCAGCACACGGAGGTATCCCAGCCACCCCCAAGGCGACACTGTGGACCTGGCCAAGAAGCTCTTCCTCAAATATTACCCCCGGTGGGTGGCTGGCTCCTTGTGACAGATTAACCACCCCTGGGCCATGTTCTCCCCATACTCCAAGCCTGGCCAGGTTCCGGGGGTCTGGAACTGGGCAAGCGTTACTGGAGGTCCCCAAGCCTGGGTGAAGGGACTTAAGACCTGCCGGTCGGATCAAGGTTAGGGGATTTGGGGGGAAGTGAGCTGCCCTCCTCCACCACCCCAAATTCGGGACCAAAGTACTGTTTTAATACACCTTAATAAACTGGTGAATCACCTGGGCCTGTCTGTCTGAATGTCACTGCTACTGTGCCTGGGAGGACTCGGAGCTATAGCATGGACACCGGTGTGAGGCCCGTTCCCCCTGTCCCCTTGCTTTTGTCTCCCCATTGTTAATACTAACCCCTGACCTTTGAACTGAGAATGCCTGCCCAAAGCATTGGTTCTCATACCCTCAGCAGCAAACTTTGGAAACTATCATTGTCCCCATGGGACAGAGGCATGCCCAAGGAAAGATCCACACAGGGCACTCGGTGCCCACGGGGAGCCCACACCTCCTGCTTGCAAAGCTTCGCCCTACCTCTGACCAGCAACTAAAGCAGGTCCGTCCAAGCAGGGCCTCATCTCTCCTTGACCTAGAGCAGAGTGGGGAGAGCAGGCCAGGGACTTCTGGAGGTTCAGCCTTGAGGTGGTGCTGCAGACACAACAAGGGGTGAGGATCCCTGGGGGCAGGGGCGGGGCAAAGTAGGTGATATCTAGTCCTGAGACCAGAGCCTCTCCCACACGCTCTCCCCATGGACCGCACAGTGGTGCTCATCACCGGCTGCTCCTCGGGCATCGGCCTGCACCTGGCCCTGCGTCTGGCGGCAGACCCTTCCCGGAGCTTCAAAGGTATCTGAGGGGGTTGGGACGGGAGCAGCCCTGGTCCCAGGGCAGGACGTCAGGTCCTCATCTTGTCCCCAACCGCCAGTGTATGCCACTTTACGGGACCTGAGCACGCAGGGCCCGCTGTGGGAGGCCGCCGGGACCCAAGGGTGCCCACCCGGCTCCCTGAAGACGTTGCAGCTGGACGTGCAGGACGCAGATTCCGTGGCTGCTGCCAGGGCACGTGTGACTGAGGGCCGCGTGGACGTGCTGGGTGAGCCTCCCCAAAACATACAGGAGCCTTCCCTGTCCTGTGTCCAAACCAAGGTGTCCTGAGGCTCAGGGAACAGGGGACCGGCCGGGACGGAGGCCAGTGCAGGAGGCACAAGGGGTCGAACCTCTCCCCACAGTGTGCAACGCGGGCCGGGGCCTGCACGGGCCCATCGAGGTGCACTCGGCGGAGGCTGTGGGCTCTGTGCTGGACGTGAACTTGGTCGGGATGGTGCAGATGCTTCAGGCCTTCCTGCCTGACATGAAGCGCCGCCGCTCAGGACGCATATTGGTGACTGGGAGCATGGGAGGCCTGATGGGTGAGTGGGGTGAGTGGAGGGGGGCTGGGCCGGGCGGGCTTTCCGGGGACGCACTCCCATCTGAGTCTCAGCGCCCTCATCTCCCCTCAAAGGGCTGCCCTTCAACGCTGTTTACTGTGCCAGCAAGTTCGCCATCGAAGGTTTATGCGAGAGTCTGGCGGTGCTGCTGCCCCACTTCGGGATCCAGTGAGTCACCGCCCACCGATGGAACCCTCTGACCCTGACTTTGGGAACTCCCATACCCGTCTTGGTGGAGCTGCGTCCAGGCGGTCTCCCTGCCCTTTCCTAATGCGGCCCATATCTGTGTGTGCCAGGCACTGTACTGGGCCCATGCCGGTGACCTACCTGGTGAGGTGTCTATTATTATTGGGAAGCGTAGGCCCAGAGAGATTAGCTGACCCCCAAGGTCACACAGCATGTGACCCAGCCAAGTTCAAATTCTGATGCATCCCAGCCAAGTTGGAATTCTGACGCCAGAGTCGCTCTCAGACCCTCAGGTGGAAGTGGGAGTGCTTTTCGGGCAGTGAGCCGCTTGCAAGCGCTCTGGTTAGCCTTATGTCACCTGCCAGTGCGCAGATCCTCCTACCCTCCTCCTGGCGGTGCGCGCGGCCTGGGGGCTGGGGCTGGGGGCCCGGTTGGGCTCTGTTCTCACGGGCTC